CCTCAAAGGTATTTTGAATCTGAAAAGAGCTTCACTGAGTGAGCAGTAATGTTAGGAGCTCAGCAGACAGTTTCAGTTTCACCCGTTTTTTTTTTTTGCTTTGTTACTGCCGAGAGCCAGCTTGGAGACACATCCCTGAGGCATTTCTGGTCCCCACCTGTCGTTTTGCTCCTCAGCATGGCTGCCTAAAAACACTGCAGGATTACTCAAACATGCATGAATGAGTCAAAGCAAGGCTTTGGGCATGTTTTTTTATGAGGGTATAACATYATAACATGATATAAAACTCAAAAATGTTGATTTTTACATGATATTGCACCTTTAAGCAAGGATCTCCTTTCTAATGTGTTGAACCAGAATTTCAACTACAAGCTGCCTTCAGTTCTACTCAGTACACTGATTTGTGAGTCTCTCCGAATAGTAAAAATAAATCTGCGAGCTGCGCCGTCTACCTCCGTTGAAGCATCACGACTTTGTCGCTCAACAGGTCGCTGAGGTCCAGCTTGCCTCCTTTCTCGATGACGTCGGGGTGCTTGCGCACCAGCAGCCAGCCGATGTGGGCGAAGAAGAACCCGCGGCGGGCGTTGTGAGGATCGGCGTCCGTCTCCGAGTATTTGTGGTGAACCCTGTGGTCTCGAGCCCACTCGAAGATGTCGTTCTGTGGTTCGAAGCAGAGACAGCGATTGCACAAACGCAACGACCAAGTGTGTTCCTGTCACTGTTGTTGTTTTCTGTACCTCAAACGCCATGGAGTTGGCAAAGGAGAGAAAAATCCTTAGAGGTAATGAAGCCTTGTAGGTTCTGTGGCTCCACAGGCGATGAGCCCCAGCAGTAATTCCTAGAGCGCTTACCAAAAAACAAAGCACAGCTGTGGACAGAAGGAAATTACTCATTTAGTATAAACGTTATCAACATTGCGCTTACAGTCTGCCACCTTTACATGGATGAAAAATACAAATCATCACTTTTGATTGTTGTTTAGCAGCATCTGCAGCACAAACGCCTGACAATTAAGTAAAAAAAAACAACAACAACTTGGTGACTCTGATGACAACACTCATCCTCAGTGATGGATCTTGACACGAACTGTCCATAAATGCTTTTTGTTTCTCCACAACTGATTTCTTTCAGAAGCACATGCTTTTTTTTGTCATCATCAGAGCCAAAAACAAAAAAGAATGGGTTAAAACTTGATGTAGAAATAGCTACTCTGAGAGCAAGATTGAAATTTACAGCCTTAACATGCATGTTGTGACAGGAACGGTGACGAACAGATGCTTGGATTCACAAGGATGACGTGACAGCTAAATGTGATTTAAATGGTGGCAAAGATAGATAGATAGATAGATAGATAGATAGATAGATAGATAGATAGATAGATAGATAGATAGGTGGATGTGTGGATGGGTGGAAAGATGGATAGATAGATAGATAGATAGATAGATAGATAGATAGATAGATAGATAGATAGATAGATAGATAGATAGGTGGATGTGTGGATGGGTGGAAAGATGGATAGATAAA